TGTTGCTAGGGAAAACAGGAGCAAAATCTATCATTCCCACTTCTACTTCCACAATGTCTTGGCAACCAGTGGGGAGATGGTAGAAAACGTTTTCCAGTTGGGAAAGTACATTTCCGTTTAAATGTTCCTGTGACAAGCTTGTCCGCCAATTGTCTTGCTATATATTTTCAACGTGCAACGAAGTCTGACTGTGATGCTTTTTCAAATGCATTTTTCTGACACAAACATACAGCTTGGCCAAGGTTTTGCCCACTGAAGCCTCTGTTTTTCCATTTGTTGTGGAACTTAACACTTGAAAGTTATTATTGTACTCCAGTACGTCTTTGTCTGAGAGTTGTCCTTTGGACAAAAACTTTTCTGCCAAAGTTCTATCATTTGATTTGTAGGAGTTGGCTGAGATGAACCTCCATAAACAAACAGTAATGAATTTGCATAAAGGTTAAGCTGCTTCTGGATTTCAAACCACTGCAGAATACTCTCCATCTTCCGAATACTGGCAGCAACATCTTTTCTTAAGCAGAGTCCATTATGAAAAAAAACTAGAAACTTTATTCTTTAGAGTTTCTTCTGTTAAGCTTCTTCCATAGTGCTGGTTTGGTCCCTCATAGCCATTAGGATGAGCATGATAAACCCTCAAACCAAGCACCAGGAACCCATTAATGGGTACTTGCTGACCTGTTGCTGAATCTTCTCAGATGATGCAAAAGAATCATAGCTTTTTTGCTCTATCTTTACATCCATTATATAGGGCTTATTAAATGTATGGGTCAAATCTTCCGGTTTTAGGTATAAATTATTTGGTACAGTGGGAGGTGACCAGATGCCATAATAGTTTGGCAAATATTTTCGTAGATCTAAAAGAACACTATCAATACAATTAGCAGCATAAGCCATATTAAAGAATTTCAGCTCTCTTTTTTGGACCCCTTGGAGGTTGCTGTAGCTGTACCATCTGGATATTGTGAGATACCCACTCTGCCCTTCCTGCACATCTGCCTGGACACCTGATGGGAGAGGGGCACACAGCTGTGCCTTGGAGACAACCTTGCTTGCTGGTGGGGTCAGCATTTCTGGGGGCCCAGGTGCCTCAGGCTGGAGTTGGGATGGTGGCTCTGTTGCCGTAACAGCTGAAGCTTTAGCAGAGGCAAGGGAAGAAAAAAAAAATAGGGCGGAGGGAAATGACTTTGGAGAATGGGGGTAGAAGGGATCTCATCACGAGGCCCAGGACTCTCCAGCTGGGCCCGAGGCCCAGGAAGGGGGCCCATAATGCTGTGGAAGCACAGGAGCTGTCTGTCTTACCCACAGGGGAGCGTGGCTGCCAGCCCCCTACCTCAGCCCTATAGAACAAACTCAGCAGAGGAACAGCAGTGGTGGGTGCCTCGTGCTCCCTTCCATACTTCCTTGATTACTGTAGCTTTGCAGTATAGTTTGAAATCAAGGAGTGTAATAAATACCTTCAACTTTTTTCTTTCTCAAGATTGCTTTGGCTATTTGGGGTCTTTGTAGTGTCACTATTTAAATAAGGTCTTTCTTTTGTTTCATCTTTATTTAGTTATTTGTATACAATGGTTTTTGATTTTGTATATTAGTTTCACACCTAGTCATCTTACTGAATTTTTTATGTAAGGGTTTTTCAGCTGATTTTCTTTAGTTCTCTAGATGAATGGTCATATCATCTGCAAATGGTAACAATTTTACCTTCTACCTCCCAATTTATTTTAGCCTCATGCTTATACCTCTGACTTAATGGGAACACTTTCAGTAATTCCCCATTAGGCATTAGGTTCCTAAATTTTTACTTCATAAAGATCCTTTTAAATTCCCATGTACAATGATTCTTGCCCCATTGTCCACAGTAAGTTGTAACAAACTTTTTGATCATTCCTTGCAAAAATTGAAGAATGGAAAGGCTCAAGTTAGAAAGATGTTTATTATATTGGGCAGATATCAGCCTCCCAGTGGCTTCCACTTATTTGCCTTCTGGGAAAAACAACAGCAACAAAAACACAGAAGAGAAGATCAGTCTCATTCACATGGCAGCCCGTTGGGGCATACAGTGGGTCTCCTTTAAATTGTTTCTCTCTGCTTTACAGCATTGAAGTTTAACAACTGTTCTTTGTCCTTCCAATGGAGAGATGAGCAGGTTGAGAGTTCTGTGAAGACCTTCTGGGCACAGAGCCCTGTGAGTGTACTCCATGGTGTGCTTATGCTCCACCAGCAATTAGCTAATTTGCCTGAGTCAGGGTTTCTAGATTCTTCCTTGCCTTTGAATTCCTGGAAACTACACATATAAAGCCATCCTTTTCCACTGCACTCCAGTACTTGTAGGGAGAATCCCACACTTATGACCCAAAGTTAGGCCATTTGAGTCATTTCTGGTTGTCTTTTGAATTTTATTATTGACTCTGGACTTCTAACAGCCAGATCAGTTATATTAAGTAAGCTAAAATCTCTTCTTACCTAAACACCAACAACTTGCTGTGGTTTCATTTGCTGTCTAATCACCTCAGTTTGAATTCTGCAAACTGCAAGCTCATTATAAGTCATGTGGATTCAGTTGCAATGATGACAAATTTTTGTTTTTGAAATTTAAAAAATTATAATCTATGGGAGGGTACTACCCTTCCATTTTCAAATTCCATAATTTTTGCAAGTTTTCATTTGCCTAAAAAGCAGGGGTAGCTGACATGAAGACTTTTGTGACATTTAAGTGAGATCAGACAAAATAAATAGACATGGAAAGGAATCATTTGTATCTAAGCCTTTTTGCTTTGTTCTTGGTTCTTGAGCATAAGATGGCAACTTATAAACAATAAAACACTGCCACATTTTGTATTGCTTTATTTTCATGCCTGGTGCTTTTATTTCACAGACTGAATGAGGACACTGTGTGTATTTGTCAAGTCTGCATGACCTCTTCAGAACTGAAAGCAGGATCTTACCCTGTTTTGGCTTAAGTACCTTGTAAACCTCTATTCCTTAAATGAGTGATAAGACATAGCATGCAGTTGACTATATATAGGAATTTCCTCCTTGACAGACTTCATAAAACTTAAGAGCAAATACCCCCCCCAAAACAGCATCCTTGGCATTTAACAACCACATTATTACAAAATGAAGTGTCTCTAGTTTCTGGAGATGAAATTTTTTTACTTATCCCTGCCATTTCCCTCTCTGGCAGAGACAGGACCTGTGCACATGATAAGAGATCAATAAATATTTATTTAATGACTGAATGAAGTCTGAGATTCAGTTCAGACCCCAGTGTGCTTATTGAGATAATAATTTTATTGTTCACAATAATTAATGTATACTGAAAACACCTCTTCAGTAATCAATTCAAATAAAATAAGCAATATATCTACCCCAGAATGATATTATAGATCATAGTTGGGAATTAAATTCTCAGTCATAGGACATTTTTCATTAGTTGACTGAAGCATAATTAGTTGTCACTGGACATGTGGCTCAATTGCATGTATCCATTCTCAGCACATCTAAAGATAGTACTCTCCCTGAGGTTCTGGTCAGGTGGTAGATTCTGAAATAACAACCAATAACATTTGAGGGGTTTCCACTGACCTTTTCCAGACATGGGCACTAAATAGCAGGTACACAAATAGACTCAGGCTGCTCCCCCTCCCTCTTCCTTCTGAGGAACATATTGGAGTTTTTGTGCTTTTATAAATTGGTGGTGGGGGGTGGGTAGAGTTTGTTATTCTGTAAAGATCTTTATGCTTTTAAAAACTAAATTCATTTGTTTTCTGAGTTGATGATCATTTTTCCTTTTCCTGCTTCTTCATGTTATTCTCTAAGGTAAGTAGTATGAAGTGAAATAAATCAACAGAAGTAGAAATAACCTGAAAAAAAAATCTATCTGTGGATGAATAGAGGCCACTCTGGTTCTAAAGCTTTTGTGGCACTTTCATTAATAACAAAACAAGCAGAAAGAAATATAAAAACAAACAAACCAGATTTTAAAAAGCCCCTATCCTTCTGAGAATGAACATGAAAGCTGTTGTAGTGTCATTTTCAGTGACTATTACCTATTGCACATCCCCCAGGAACAGGACCCTGGCCCTTTAGCACTTGGGTTAGGAATTCTTTCACGGTAAAAACCTAAGTTGTTCCTGTCTTCAAAGCCTCTCCAACTGGATGCCAGGAGGAAGAGCACTCGTGTGTTCTATTTGTACAAGTGCTCTAGGCCGTGATATCAAGCAGATGAAAGAGAACCAAAAAAAGGCACACAACTATTCTAGCTCCTTGGCAACTTCAGAGAGCTCCATCCTCAAACCCAGGAAGTCCATTTTGTTTAAATGGTTGCGCTGTTACAGTGGACTCGCCAAGCCCGCTGCCAATCAGATACCACGGTCATCACTTTCTTCTAATGTAAACGGGAGATTTAGGAATAGCAGCAGTTTGGAGGATTTTATTTGGCAGTTAGAATTCTCTCTCCTTGCCAGGATTGAGCTTGCCTTAAAAGATATTGTCTTCTTTAGAGATCTTCATTTCTGTAACTTTAGCATGATGGCCATGTACAAAATCATCACTCACCTGAGGTTTTCCACAATCCCAGATCTGTGAATGAGATGAGTAGAGCCCTTTGTATTGTGGATTGTTTTAACATCATCTTAATCTAAAGGTGCCCTCTGAACCAAAAATTAATAAAAAAATAATATATTCATGAAGATTCATTAAACTATAGTCTGTTTTCTGAATTAAAAAAAAAAAATTGTTTAGTTTTATTCCAAAGAGCATTTTGAAAGCCATCCATTGGACAAAAGTTGACTAAGGCAGAAATGATTTGATATAGTAATCTTAGTGAACAATAACCATCTTGTAGAATCTTGCTTGCTAATGCCAGTGATCATTAAAAGAGAAAAAAAAAATAAGTTATTTGTTGTTAATAAAAAGATGTCCATTCACTATAGGATTGAAATATGATGAGTCATTTAGCAATGGCATTATATTTAAAATTATTATTCTCCCTTTCTATTTAGATCTTTCTCTGGAATTAAAGGACTCCAGCTGAAGGTTAACCTCCAGCCCAACGAGAATTACTTTTTCTATGTGAGAGCCATCAACACATTTGGAACAAGTGAACAGAGTGAAGCTGCCCTCATTTCCACCAGAGGTACTTTCTCCTTTGTACACAGTGAAATATATCCAAGCATTCTCATTCCTTCCTTTCCATCACTCAGAGAGGACATCCTTGAAGGCAACTTCTCATTTTTAAAAAAATGTTTTTATTGATTTTTTTTTTTTTGAGAGAGAGGAAGGGAGAGGGAGAGAGAGGTAGAAACATCAATGGAGAACATCAATTGGCTGCCTCCTACACGCCTCCTGGTGGGGATTGAGCCTGCAGCACCGCATGTGCCCTGACCGGGAATCCAACTTCTTGGTGCATGGGTGATGCTCAGTCCACTGAGCCACACCAGCCAGGCTTGAAGGCAACTTCTTAAAGGCCCCAACCTGCTGTCAGGGCAAGGTTTTTGGCATGCGGACCAAAGACTGGACAAGGGTCAAGATGTTTCTTGTATTTTTCTAGTTTAGAGGGTCTCAACCTTGGCTACTCATTAGCAATCTGTTAGGGTGCTTAAAAAATACTGATACCCAAACCCCACTCCTGGAGATCCCGATCTGATTATTTGAAGATGGGCTCTGATGTGTGTGTTTAATCTCCCCAGAGGATTCTTGTTTGCCTCACGATGTGTTATAATGTGTGGGTATGTTTTGAGTGTGTGTGTGGGGGGGGGTGTGGGGGGGGATATTCTCATTTTATTATATTGTGAACTCTATGAACAAGCTTCCAGTCTTATTCCTCTGTTTATTGGTTAGTGCCTATCACATTGTTTGTGCCAATTTATGTTTGTTGAATGAATGAATAACTCAAGGAGGTTTTTAAATTGTTTAATGACATTTTGGAGAAAATACCCAGATGATTCCAACAAAAATATTTGGCTGTTCTCAATTATTGTGAAAAAAACTGAGGAATGGAAAGGCAACCATTTTATCATTTTACCCTAGACCCAAAGATGGCGCAAGATTGAATGTGGCACATTATGTGATTTGCATAATCAGCAAAACTTTGTGTATGTACCTCATTTGTGATGTGGTTAGGGAGGCCTGATCTTTTTTTTTTTTTTTTTTTTAATCCTCATCCGAGGACATTTTTCCATTTTTTGTGCAGACAGAGTGGGAGGGAGAGAGAGGAAGAGAGAGAGAGGAAAACATTGATGTGAAAGGGACACATCAAGTGGCTGCCACCGCACGACCAACCAGGGCCGGGGACAAACTGCAACCGAGGTACATGCCCTTAGCGGGAACCGAACCCGGGTCTCTCTGGACCGCAGGTGGACGCTCTAACCGCCGAGCCAAACCGGCCAGGGCAGGAGGCCTGATCTTTATCAAGAGAATATATGAGGGTGGCCTGCCCAGAAATGTTTTCCCTGCAGTCCCAGTATGGTGCCTGTACCGTCTGCTGTCAGAGACATTCCTTTAGGTCACACCAGTGCACTTTCAAACGTTCATGCGCACATGAGTCTCCTGATGATCTTGTTAAAATACAGAGTCTGGTTCAGTGGGTGTGGGGTGGGGCCTGGGATCCTGCATGTCCAACTCATTTCCAGGTGATGGAGATGCTGCTGGTACAAGGCGCACACGTTGCATAGCACAGCAGGTCCTAGGACAGGAGGCCTGCCAGTCGAGGCTGCCAGCCACCAGCATTCACTAATGTTTTATGACATTTTCACTGTGGATCTGAAGACACTGGGGATTTTGGTGTCAGGGAAAGGGAGACTGAAGTCTGAAATATGGGACTTGGCTTAGGGACAGCACTTGACATTGTGGCAGTGTTATAATCCTATTCTCTTCACTGCACCAGGAACGAGATTTCGCTTGTTGAGAGAAACAGCTCATCCTGCTCTGCAAATTTCATCAGATGGGACAGTGATCAGCTTCGCGGAGAGAAGGCGGCTGACAGAGTAGGTAGAAGCAAGATGCCTCTACAATGGAGTGTTCTGGGGTGTCACTTCATTGTGGCTTCACGGTGCATTTTGGTTTAATGAACATGCCTGGATACGTGGTAGCGAATATAAACGTGTGCACACCCATACAGTGTGGTTATGGTTCATTACTAGGAAGGTGCCAGAGATAGTTCATAACTTGGAGCAAGTGTCAATATTTTCATTGGAAATATAAGCACAGACAGTTTGTTTAACACATCGGCTGTTTTAAGATAGTACCTCTGATTTAATGAAAAAAGAATCCAGGTTAATTCTATTATTTTCAGTAGCAAACCAGATTTTGCATCCATCTACTTGAAAAGGAATCGAGGAGAATGACATTTTGTTGAGTTTCTAGCTCTGGCCACATGCAGGACTTTCAGACTTTCTTGCCCACCCCAACCCTTGTTGTGCCCACAGAAACAAGCATCAAAGTAAAGAGCCAAAAGCTGAGGGCAATTTGCCTGCAATCTCTCATGGTCATTTTGAGGGTCAAATGGTCAAATGGAAGCATATACGCGAAAGGCTTTTGAAAATTAGAGCCCTTGAGAAACGTGGGCTCCCGCGAGCTCTCACAGGGAGGCACTGAGCTGACCCGCAGTGGGCACGGCTTTCCCACCAGGCTGCTACCACTTGTCTGGCCCGGCTCAGGTGCTGGCTGCTCCTGGAAATAACCAGGCCGTCTCTGGGCCCTGGTGCCCTTTGCTTTCATCTGTGACAGGGTCTGAGCGTTTGTCAGCCACCTGAATAGCCCTACCTTTTGCATCTTTGAATCCCCAGAATCCAGCATGGGGCCCAGAACACTGCAGATGCTAAATATATACAGATGAGTGAGTTCAGAAAACAAAATAGTTAAAAAATAGATTGGATGGATGGGGCTTTTCTGTCTTTTTGAAAGTTTCTTAAAAAATCAAAAAAGAAAGAAAAGAAATAGACTGGTTGGTAAGAGTTCATACATAATAACTGTTGATAACTGTAATGTATTTTATAAAATTTTATTTATTTATTATTACCCTAAAAATTATCTCATAGATATCAGGCAGGTGGGCTTTGCTCCAGAGAGCAAGGGGTCTGTAAGAAGCCACCTCTCTGAAATGAGGTTGGGTAAAGACATGAGAAAATGAAACACATTCCTTTGCCTTAATCACTTTCTCATGTATTAAAGGGGAGAGGGAGAGGTGCTGACCGAATAGTAACACTGCTTAAATTAAAAAGGCTCCCTTGCTGTCTCAGCTATTTTAAAGCAAAATTGAGCAATTCATGCAAACAAGGTTACCCATCAGCTGTTGAAAGTACTTTGGTTCATTTCCCTGTGCCTCTTATAAAAATAGCCAAGGTGAAAAAAAAGAGACCTTTCAACAACCTCTCAGGCACACCTACTACAAATCCAAAGAGGCCAAGTCCCAAAGACTGTTGACCACAAGCCTTTAGAAAGCACTCTCATCACACCTGGTAAATTTCCACACGCACTCTGACCTCACCTGTCGCCTGGCTCTTCAAGAGCAGCACCTCCCTTGTCTCTGTGCCCAGTTAAGTCAGCAGACACTGGAACTCATTCGTTGGGAAAGGTTTTGGAGACCTTTTTGCAAGTTTTGTAAGAAAACTTTGCAAGTCATGCTCTCTTGGAACTCTCCACCTGCCTCCCTTGTATTTTCTCAATCTCTTTAAGAGATTGTGCCATGTCTTTTAGTCCTGCGTTATTCTAGTTATTGTCTGGTGCCCAGCTTCTTCAAGAGATGCAATGTGCAGTACATGCCTATTGTATGTGGCAGTGGAAATACATTAAATGCATATTGAGAATTTAGGGAATTCTGTGGCTATCAGGTCAAGGTTGAGGACACAATGAACAACGGATGTCTTTAGTCAAATTCCAGCAGTTCCCAAGGATGGAGTCCTGCTTAAACTGGGTGTGAGTTTATGAATGTTGATGTCTATGAGATGAAGCCTGGCAAACCCTGATCAACTTTGCCTACAGAATCCCGTCAGTGCTGGGTGAGGAGCTGCCTGCCTGTGGCCAGCATTACTGGGAAACCACAGTCACAGACTGCCCAGCATATCGACTTGGCATCTGCTCCAGCTCGGCGGTGCAGGCCGGTGCACTGGGACAAGGGGAGACCTCGTGGTACATGCACTGCTCTGAGCCACAGAGGTAAGCTGGAGCCCTGCCCCTCCCCTCTTCATCAGAGTGTTATGAGTTGATGTCCAGGCAGAGCGCTCTGAGGGCCTAATAAATAGCATCCCACTTCCCTGCCCAGGTTCTGAGCCAACATAAAAGAAACAAGAGAGTCAAGAATATGGAGATTCAACTATTATTACTGAGGAAGCCAATATTACAGAATGTGGTTCATACCAGAGAGCAAAAGGCTTTTAAAATATTGAACCCTAGCCCAGCTGGTATGAGTCAGTACTTGACTGTCGTCTCATGGATTGAGTGGTCCTGGTTCGATTCCTGGTCAGGGCACATGCTCGGGTTTCAGGCTGGATCCTCAGGGTGGGGTGTGCAGGAGGCAGCTGATTGATGTTTCTTTCTCATATTAATGTTTCTATCTCTCTCTCTCCCTTTCTTTCTCTCTAAAATATCAATAAAATCATATTAAAATATTGATCCCTACTAATAGACATACCTACCTAGAGCCTTGGCCAGGCCAACTTCCCCATCCTGCCAGGCGGACTTGTGTCTCCCCGGAAAGCTCCCAATCAAGAGATAGGGAACAGAAAGGGACTGTCAGGCCATGCATGGACAGTTTTTCCTTCTAAACTCACCCCAGAATTGGGAGATTCCACAGGGCGATGCTAGAAGGGGGCTTCCTCCGCAGAGAGGAGCCCACAGAGTGAGGAAGAGGTGGATCTCCAATACCCTCTCCACACTGGTCCATATCAAGGCTTAGCGAACTATAGCCCACAGGCCAAATATGACCCATGGACTGTTTATGTAAATGAACTTTTTTTGGCACTCAACCATGCTCGTTTGTTTACATATTGTCTGTGGCTGCTTTCGTGCTACACTGGCAGAGCTGACTAGTTTCAACAGATTAAATGCCCCCAGAGCTTAAGATATTTACTGTCTGGTCCATTACAGAAAAGGTTTGTTCATCTCTGGTCTATAGTATTAGTTTTGTTTAGCTGGTTGACATGAAAAAGCCATTAACTTATGTTCATCTCAGAAAGTTAAAGGCAACCGTGTTATGATCTGAATATGCTCACATATGGTCTCATAAAGGAGCAGGGGACTGGGAGCCAGAGACCTGATTTCAGTCCTGGTTCTGCCCTCCTACTGGCTACTTAGCAGAAACTGCTTAACCCTTTGAGCATATTCCTCATGTGTCTCATCAGGGGACAACAATGCCTGGTCTGCTACCCTTTGGGGTTGTGAGAATCACATGAAATCAGGCACAGGGAAGAGCTTTGAAATAGTAAAGTATCCTACATTGTGGGATATTATTCAAATGCAGTGATTTAAAAAGAAAGCCACAGTGCTTGCAAGTTCCCAGGGAAGGGCCCGCAGGTTGGGATTTTGCACATCTCTCCCTGCATCTACTCGACAGTGTGATTCTCTGACATGGTTCGTAAGTACACCATCTCTAAGAGCTATTTCAAGTCACATTTCATCAAGTCAGAGCAATTACAATTAATTGATATTCAGCACTGTGCAGTGCTTAGGGACCCAGCCCCGAGTTCAACATCACTCAAACCTGGAGTTTATAATCAGATTTAGAGCTGAAACTAGATATTGATTTCATGAAAAGGTCCTTTGACATTTGAACCCTTCCAAACACAAACCAAAGACTAGCCTCCGATAACAAATTTCTAGACTCTAGGAAACAGAATTGCATGTTTTGTTCAACATTTCCAACAACTCTGGACTTTACCTCTTTCAGGCCCAGGGTAGGTTCAGTAAATTCTGGGAGGAAGAGTATGCCCACCTGTGATCACAGCACAGGGAGATCAGGTCTCAAGTGCCTTCATTTCATGTTTCAAGTGAAGCATCCCTGGCCTTTAGGATGCTGATAGAATGGCTACAGCAGACCTTCCTATGTTATTCACTTTTTCGGGTTTCATTGTTTCAAACCAAGCAGTGGTTTAATTCTACTTCTGTAGAATCCAAGCTTTAAGATGTCGCATTGGAAAGGAGAAATGAAGAGAGTCTGAGAAAAAGAGAGTGTCCATTCTAACCGTCCCACCTAGTTCAAGGCTTCCGCACCTCCTGTACCAGTTTCACCCACAGCCACGACGCCTGTACAGTTCTGCTAGTCCCCGCCCACTCCAAGTTATCCTCTGTCACATCTGGCAGCTGTTTCTAAAACCTCAGTTTCATCATGGCCCATCCTTTTCTGCTAAAAAATCTAAACATCTGTAGTGGTTGCAGAACTCAGGTGGGATCACAGTGAAGAGGGGGAGTCAGAAAGAACGTGACCAGGCTGAGCAGCGAGAAGGGATAGGGGTCGAAAGTGGTCTGGACTCAGTCTGGGCCAGAAGTGAGATTCCCCGGGGTGTGTCCAGCTCAGGGGAGGGCCCTAGCAAGGCAGTTCCGGGTCACTCAAGTATCTAGAGTCAGGCTTCTGGACGATCCCTGTTTGGTTAGGGGCCAGCAGTCCCTGGAGGAACAGGCAGAAGGTGGACAAGGAGTCAGGCCCCAAGCAGACGGGCTTGGTTTTAGACCAGAGTTCAGGCTGAAGAAGAAGCTGATGTGCTTAGGAGGAAGTGGAGGCAGAAGCAGGGCTGAGCATATTCCAGGCCCCGTGGAACTGGTGGAGCCAAATCTTCAAGGAATGTCTTTTCCTGCTCGGCCTCCATGGTGGGGAGGGACTGGCCTTGGCTGCGCCTGTGGGCACCAGGAATCTTCTGTGCAAGGGTAGGGATATGGCTCATTTGGGCATTCAGAGCCTCCTAGCCCAGTGCTGTGCAATAGAACATTCTGTAAAAAGAAAAATGGTGCCACATGTGGCTACTGAACACTTGAAATATGGTTAGTCAACAAATAGGATGTTGAATTTTATTTAATTTTAATTCATTATAGTGGTCGCATGTGGCTAGTGGCTACTGTATCGAACAGGACCGGTCTAGTTCCTGGCTCCTGACTTACTTATCCATGAAATATCCTCAGAGTCATTCACATGTCCCTTCTAAACCTGTCAGGCCAATGGTGACGTTTTTCACGACATACAGGCCTATTCTGCCACCTCATCATTGTTTCTGCTGCCCCCACTGCTTGGATCTCCTTCTCCATCTTTTCCACCTATATGGCTTGACCATTCTGTTTGGCTGAGTATGAGCCCATCTGCTCCCCAAGCCTTCTGTAAGAGCCCAGCCTACACTGCTGGTCCTCATTGTCACCCTCTGCAACCTTTGTCTGCTCCACAAGTCCCTTTATCATCATGTAAGTCTAGCTTGTCTCCCCATTCCCACGAATCGTTGCCCTTTCACATGAGCTTCATTCTGCAACGAAGCTGCCAACTTGCCATCCCCTGAGTATACCTGCATGCAAACTTCTGGGCCCTTAAGAGACATCACAAGGTTTTAAACGTCCTTGGCCTTTTCTGCCAAACCAGAGTCACGTACCCAGACTCTAGGGACGCGGTCTGCCCCGGTGTTACTCTCATCCCTCGGACCTACCATATCCACAGAACTTTTCCTCTCTCTTCTTCCTTCCCATCTCTCCTTTCTTCCTTTCCTCTCTTTCAGGGCCCCACCCTCCACTTCTCAGACTGGCAAGCAAACCTCCAAATTTGTGTTACTTCTTTGCACAGAGCAATTTAACTTCTTTTATTCAGCAATTTCTCCTTCCCAACCTGGCCTTGAACCTTTCCTCTCACCACAGAAGCAGGTCCATTACATGTGTTTAGTGAACATTTTACCAGTCTGTACCCTGAGCTGGAGTCTCAGCTCTAGCCAGTGTTTAAGTCATCATCAATGTTTCCTTTCTGTTCAGCAGAGTTTGGCTCATGGTGGTCAAGGACAGTGCGCTCTGGTCCCCCAGATCCCCCAGAGGGCTTGGTCAAGGGCTAGACACACAGATATGCCCAAGTGAATACTTGTTGAATTACATTTATTTCAATTGAGGAGATAAATCAAAGGCAGCCCCTTTAGCTGCAAGGCCGCAAAAACATTGATAAAATGAAAAACAAAGTTAGTTTGGAATAAGAGGGGCTTATACAAAGGCTAAAAGCTGGGTAAAAATAAGAAAATAGTTCTTAAACTTCATAAAGGCCCTTATGTAAGTTATGATAAATCTTTAAACTGTAAAATTAATACATTTTATGAAAGGCAAGCCGGAAGTACTTTTAAAAATACATGGCAGCCTTACAGGAATTTTATTCAAAAGAATGACACACCATGAGCGCGGCGGTTAAAGCACGTGGGCTGCTGGGAGAGAACTGGAATGTTGAGAAAAATCACAAGGGAGGCATATGTTGGTTATTCTGGGACTGCTTCCTAATGTAGAAGGAGCAAAATTATTAAAAATCCTCATCTGTTGGGATGAGCTATGCATTTTAGCATCTAGGAGGAATCCGATCAAAGTACTAGGGACAGTGTTATTGCAACTCATTGTTGTGAATGGAATTTAATAACTGAAAAATTGGTTCCCTCCAAGTAATTTTCTTTATCGTGGTCCCGCAAAGTTTCCGAGGAGTTTAACGCTCGCCTCCGTCCATTTCAGATACACGTTTTCCTGCAGCGGCGTGGTGAGCGAGGTCCACGTGACGGAGCGCCCCGCCAGAGTGGGCGTCCTGCTGGACCACGGCCGCCAGCGGCTTCTGTTCATGAACGCCGAGAGCGGACAGCTGCTCTTCATCATAAGACACCGGTTTAACGAGGGTGTGCACCCTGCCTTTGCCCTGGAGAAACCTGGGAAATGTACTTTGCACCTGGGGATAGAGCCGCCGGACTCCGCGAGGCACAAGTGATCACCGGCCTTCAGAGCTTGGAAGAGCAGTCATTCCAACCCCGGGCTCTGCCGTCCTCTCCCGTGGGTGCTGTACACTACTAGAGCGTCTCCGCGCATTGGCACTCACCACAGCTTCAGGCACAGGGATGAGCACGTGAGCAAGACCACCGAGAAAACCCTTGTCTCTCTAGGGCAGCGTGGAAGTCAAGAGGGTGGAAAAAACAAGCTCCACCCTGAGCTTTATGTGTGTGTGAGTCCCGCCCCCCCCCCCCCCATTAAAAGGATTTGTATCCGATGTGGGAACCGAGATAGAGAAATGGACTTCCACCTGTTTTATGGGTGCAAGAAAGCCTCGAGAAGGTCCGAGTGAAGAGGGAAGACTGCTGGTAATACCTCTCCTCCGACAGAAGCACGGACTTTTCCATAAGAAAAACGGGCCTCACCTCCCTGAAGGATGATGAATCCACCATTAGAGAAAGTGTTTTCACCCTTCCAAGTCGATAATGAACTCTTTTGTAATAATATATGCTGTAGAACATAAGTGTTTTCCCCTGAAATTTTAAATGTAGAGCAGTGCTGGATATTAGAAATTTCCATTTTGTTAAATAAATGGTTAGTCTATAGAACAAAGCATGTTATGTGAACTTATCTGTAACGTACCAGCTGGCCTCTCTGGACCAGGTAAATAACTGTCACACTTCAGCAGGTGGTGCTATTACTAATTTTGCTGTGAGAATTGTTACACATGTATGTTTTAAAACCTAAACACTTTCAGCTCAGAGTTACAGTTACCTACCAGAAGCCTGGAATCTCCTTTCACTAGAAGAAAGTGGTAGGTCATTTTTAAATATTGAAATCTCTCAACATCTTCCTAAAAATATGTGTGCAAGTTGATAAATCTAGAACGCATAGTTCATTTTGTATCTTAGATCATGTTTCCCACATATATGTAGTGTGTGAGAATGACATGCGTGTGATGTACACACACACACACAGGTGCATACGTACACTCATACACATACATTCCCTCCCCTCCAGCACGGACTTCCTTGCAGGCCTCTGCTTTGTTGTTGCTGCTGTCATGGGATTACATTCGATTCTTCAATACCAATGACCTTGGTTAGGATTCAGAAGAGTCTGTAACGTACTATTTGTGGAGAAAAGATTTTCATACCACAATGCTTCTTCCGAGAGGTACAAGGGAAAAATAAAGGCGTTGGGGGTGGGGGAGAGGATGAGGATTAACACTGTGGTGTTTCTCTGTTAGCATACACACAGGGCAACCCTGAATGGCTATGTTGTTCTTTGTCAAAGGGAGAAATATTTTTCTATTGGAGCAAACCGGAATGTGTTCCTGTTGTTTTTCTGGAGATGCTTCCATAACATCCAACAGAACTGAAGTATCATACTTCATCACACCCACTTATAAAACTGCCTGATTTAAGCACCAGATCCTAACAGTCTTCCATCAGAAGCATCCTTTAGGCCTCAGAGTGGCCTGTATCTAAAGTCCCGTCTCATCCTTACCGTGTTAGTTACCCATTAATCAGTGCAAGTGTTCAACTGCTGCGAGAACTCACAGGATTCAAACAGTGTATACTTACAGAAGAGCTTCACCACAGGCAAAGGATACAGCACAGCCAACAGGAAGGGTAGGCGTTGAAAGGGACTCAGATCGCAGGTGCAGGCCTGTGTGTCCCTCCACTCTGGGCTGCCACTCTGTGAAGCTCCTTGGTACCAGGAAGGCCACATTTTGTTTCTGGTGGTGGGTGTCACGGGGCTTCCATAGTGCATTCATCATGTAGGCACTTTCTAGCTATGCACCTAGTCCTAACCTTTGAAACTAGCCTCCCTGCCCCCCACAGGCTCCCCTAAAACTAGTGCAAATCTTAAATCGACTGATTATTACTAATGACACTCACAGACTGATAGCCCTGCTTCGAAACAACTGATGGATCCATGGTTACAGAATGTTATTTTAGATTTCATGGCATTGGGCAAGGATAAGTAGCTCTGTGGAGACAAATGTGGTCAATTAAGACTTGCTGAAATGAACCCATGCCAGGCACTTAATGTCTTGCATTCCGGAGCTCAGGAGGCGTTTCAAGAGTAATAATAGTAAGAGCCAAGTGTCTCTGCTGCCGATAGCCTTTGTCTCGTGTCCCTGATCTGGTGACTGCTGGTGAGTGATCCCAGGCACATCCCTGCGCTGAATGAAGTCAGCCCTGATTTCCAGCTCCCTTCACAGGGCTCAGGAAGAAACACATTTTCTGGGCTGGTTTCAGAATAGGAGATCAACACCTCTCATTTTCTACCCTTTATTACCCTCAAAGCGTATGTGCTTGTGCCCCTCTTTTATGTAAATATGTTTTGGTCTTAAATGAACTCCCTTTCTATGCTGAGTTTTTTGTTTGTTTGTTTTTCCAATTGATACTAGTAATTTCAGATTCCTAAATAGCATATGAACTGTAAGAGTAGCTTGAGAATAGTTGGAGGATTAAGAATGTTTAACTTGGAACAAAGACATCTTAGGGAAGGATATAAGAGATCTTCAAAGATTTGAAGAGTTTCTATGTCTAAGGAATTAGGCTAATTTTTATTTTCCACTAGGACCCAGTGGGTAGAAGTTCCAAGGACGAGGGATCCAGTACAGGAGTGGGAAGAACACCCTTACTGTGGCTCTTGGCTCCGGGACATGCTGCTTAACAGGTAATGAGCACTCAAGTCCGCTGAATAATCTGCTGTCTGGATTACTAAAGAGAGTCTTGATCTGAGTTCTAGATCCATGGGGTTCTGGGATTCCAGAGTGCCTGAAGGCTGATGCAGGATCCAATGGGAAAGCCAAGTGGGTATAAATTCAGACCCATATCCCATTTTGATCTGTTTTACATGTTGGGTACTTTATAACAATTCATTTGATAAAAAGGTTTTTATGGTTAAAGTTAGAAAACTAGATAACCATTGAGATGCTGATCTGAATGAAGTTTGTGATGCAGGGTGACCCAATAGTCCCTAAGTCCTCCATTATTTCAGAGCACCTTTTCCTTTAGTATCCAAATACTTATATATTGATTACAAGAAGGGTTGTTGGTTTTTTTTTAATCCTCACCCGAGGACATTTATCCATTTTTTGTTCAGATAGAGTGGGAGGGAGAGAGAGGAAGAGAGAGAGAGAGAGAAACATCGATATAAAAGGGACACATCGAGTGACTGCCAACCACACGACCAACCAGGGCTGGGGACAAACTACTACCGAGATATGCGCCCTTAGCAGGAACCGAATCTGGGTCTCTCTGGACCGCAGGCCGACGCTCTAACCGCTGAGCCAAACCGGCCAGGGCTGCAAGAAGTGTTTTTTATTACAAACTTCCAAGAATTTCTGTAGGCGGTTGCATTCTCCTTGCTGACATCTCTGACTTCCTGCGTCTGAATTCTCCTCCATCACCTCTGGCCACCTCACCACTACTTACTTCCCTAGGCCCATTTGGTCGCCATCATCCCAAAACACAGACACAGTGCTCCTCTGATTGTGCAAGGCAGTGCTAACACAAGGCTGATCTTGGTAGTGCTTAACACGGTTTTTGTTGAAAACTTGGGGTGAGTGAGGAAAATTTCTTCATAAACCGGAAACAAAATAAAGCTGAATGTGAAACATCCAACATGGCAGGAGCCCCTTCTGCTCTCTTCTTCAGCCAGTCTTCCTGCCACCCGAACAGACTAAGCTCTCCATTCTCCTTTATTTTTATTATTTTTATTTTTTATCCTCACCTGAGGGTATTCTCCATTGATTTTTAGATAGAGTGGAGGGGGGGAGAGAGAGAGAAACATCGATGTGAGTGAGACACATCAGTTGGCCGCCTCCCGCATGACCCAGACCAGGGCCAGAGATTGAACTGCAACCGAGGTATGTGCCCTTGACAGGAATCGAACCCGTAACTCTTTGGTTCGTGGGCTGATGCTCTAACTGCTGAGCCAAACCGACCAGGGCTCTTCTTTATTCTTTAAGTTTCTGCTATTGGCCCAAACATTGTTTTTTCAGAACCAGGCAGGGGAACTAGAAAACATCAACATAGAAAAGCTCTCTTACTAACATAGACTTGCTTTGTAGTCGAAGGAGAACATTCTGTCTCAGCCTCTTCTAGCTTGCCCAGGCTTCGGCTTCTCTGTAGAATTAAGAGGCCTACAAAATCAATCCCATAAAACAAAGGACACCCCTCTCCCTTTAGAATGGCTTAAGAATCCATCAGGCCCTGGCAGGTTTGGCTCAGTGGTTAGAGTGTCAGCCCTCGGACCAAAGGGTCACGGGTTCAATTCCTGGTTTTCAGATTTGAACCCCGGCCCCAGTTGGGGTCATATGGGAGGCAACCAATCCAAGTGTTTCTCTCACATTGATGTTTCACTTTCTCTCCCTCCCTTCCATACTGTATAAAAAAAATCAATGGAAAAAATACCCTCAGGTGAGGATTAATAACAAAAAAGAATCCATTAGTGTCTTCCCTTCCCTGAATTTCTGTAGCACCAGCTGATTGAAAGTCCTTTCTCAACCTTCCTGGAGCCCCCAGACTTCGTGTTGAACAAGACTGTGTGCCAGGCTCTTCAGGGGGAATGACACCCTACTGGCGTCAACATGTTATTTGAGGATTTTATAACTTCTGAAGCAGGGGGTAAAATAATTAGGAAAAAGAAAAATGGGGAAGAAGAAGCACAGTTCATTTATTTAATACATATTTATTACGTACTTACTATGGGCTGGGCACAATTCTAGGCCCTGGGGAAATGGCAGTCATCAAATCAGACAAAATCCCTGCTGTCAAAGAGCTTATATTTTGGTGGAGGAAGACAGGCAATAAACACATATATAGTATGTAAGTGGGGAGTGAGAACTAGGAAAAAAAATAAATCAGGGTAAGAGAATAAAGAATAATGGGAGGTAGGGGTTGCCATCTATTTTGGGCATGATGGTAAGGTAGCTCTGATAAGGTGATATTTGAATAAAGACCTAAATGAAGTGAGGGAGCTGGCCATGTAGTATTTGTGGGGAAAGTATTCCATGTAGGCAGGTCAGCGAGAGTAGAGGTCCTGGGGCAGCAGCTGGGGGTGTGTTAGGGAGCAGCGAGGAGGTCAGCAGGGTGAAGTGGGATAACGGAAGGAGAGGACACTGTGCATACAGTCGGAGGGTAGCTGGGGACCAGTTCACAATGGCCTGAAAGGCCAAATAAGGCCTTTAGGTTATATTCTGAGTGAGTTAACAAGAAGTA